TCAGCTAGTTTAGATATCGACGTTCTTGATCGGCGTTTTTAGCTTGCTCAGTGTGTTACATTATTCTATCCATCTAAAACAATTTTGACTGGTGCCTAACTAAATCCGTAGTGGCATTCAAATTCATTGTTGAATCCGTACGTTATTCCGATGGAAGGCAGTTGAAAATTGGAATTTTTCATAAAATACCCTATAATTTTGTTCTCCACATTACCGCTAAAAATCATGTGTCACGTAACTAATCCAAGAAAAATTATTATTTAACTAATTACTACCGGTTTATCTGCAGTTGCGGTAAGACATTCACAGGTAGAATCAACTGTCAATTATCACGACGAATGGTCGAACACATTCCAAAGTGGTTGATGAAGTCGATGACGCAACCCACTCAGAGTCGGTCACACGGAATAGAGGGGCCATTGATGGCAAAACAAGTCAACACAAACAGACAAATAATTGATCCCGCTTCCTCTTTCAAACCCCCTTTACGTGACTCCAATATCAATCTTTGGGCAATTAGTGAGGCAGTGCTAATCAGATTACACCATCCCGTTCTGTGCGCCCAAAAGTTGTTGGCACAATCAGTTCACATGCCATGGAATCGACCTCTTGTCTTTAAACCTAATAGCCCTGTCTATCTGTACATGTCCGCTCATTAAGATTTACTAATCCATTGTGCTATAGATGGGCTTGTTTGTTTTACGTCCGCGATTGAGAAAATTAAACGAAAATGAATATCTCGCGACATGAATTCGCTTTCAATCCTTATGTATTTATTCATAAACCATTATTTCGCATATTTTCATCCAACGTACAATAATGATAATCAAACACATTTATCGCAACACATCTGGAGGTGATTTTCAATACAGGGTGAGTGAAATTGTCATACATGGCTTTGACACGATCGTCTGCAATTATATAATTACATACTTAATGGAGGTATCAAAAGGAGCATCCAGTAGTGTAATACATGACTGGGGGAAAACCGGAGGAATTGGAGTAAGACGATCACTATGACCGTAATGATAATACCACTTTTTCTGTTCATCTACTTGACACACACACACACTGGGAATAATGAGCATGTAGCCCCAACGGTCACTGGTTGCATTAGGGCAGATGCTAGCTCAATCTGACCCCGGAGTGAAAACTTTTCACAGAATCTGAAATGAATATCTCGTCCAATTTGACTGCACTACCTTTTGGATTGCGGATTGCAGCTTTGTGGGATTAGTTTTATTNATTGCCCAGTTGATATGGACTCTCGTAATAAATTTGTTCGGACATCGGACCTTCGGAATGACTGGATAGGATCACGATAAGCCCATAAGAAAACAAATATTGAAGAACCGAGCCGATGGAACTCATGACGATCTCAAAAATGGAAGTATGCAAACCGATTGAAGGGCTCAGAAACAGCACTGGAACAATTTTAGGTTGGCGAATGCCTGATTGAGTCACGCTCATGCTTATTACAGGGATTGATCAAACTGGTGCAATACCCTGACTTTCGTCACATTTGTTCCTTCCAACGCCAAGTGTTCTGAGTCTCATTCACGGGCTTGAATATAATTTAGCCTCCCATCAGGCGCAACATATCTATACCAATGCCCGCCTATTTTACTGCTTTTGTTGGTCGAGTGCCACCAAAATGTTTCTTGGAATAGATTCTTAGGTCTTTCAGGGTTAGGGGTAATGTGTGAGTAGTTTGCAGCCACATAATTTATTAATTTATTTAACCAAAAACCTTTTCAATGATCGACTTGATGAATGGGCACTGAATAAAAGTAGATAACCTATTTATAATACGTGTGTTCAACCTAATCACCACTGTCGTGAAACAGGGATCTTTTATTAGAAAGAATGAACATTCGTACTTCTTTGCATAAAATATTTTCCCTAATCTGAGCTGTATCTTCCGGACTATTACAAATTTTATTAAGACACTCAAGGTCGCGCAAAGTCGAATGGTGATAGGAGAGAATTAAAAACATAAAAGTGGGGGATAAATTTAGGAACAAATACACTTCACCCGTAGCAATCAATTGGAAACTGAAGTGCAGTTTAAAAATGAGAGTAATGACGCCTGAGTTTGGTCAACATCTGTATAAAACATCTATTCATATATATATATATATATATATATATATATATATATATAT